ATAATTTTTTTTTTCATTTATGTATTTGGGACAGGGTCTCACTATGCAGCTTGGACTCATTGTGATGCTCCTGTTTTCATCCTCCCTGGTGCTGGGATTACAGGTGTGCGCCACCATGCCTGGACTCATTCGCTGGCTCAATGCACCCTGGGGGTGAAGCCGGTGCAGTATGCAAGACTGGGGATCGAACCCTAGTCCCCAAGCTTGCCAAAGCAAGAGTTTAGTCCACTGAGCTATCTCATCAGCCCTATGCAGACATTTTCAAGAAGGATTCATCCACAGTTTCTTTTTCTATTAATGTAGTCAATTTTGTGCAATTGGCACAAAATTTAGAAAACAAATATATAAAGAAGGTAAACCCATAATACTATCTCCTACAATCACTGTTGACATGCTAATGTTTTGGCATAGTAATGTTTGTTTTTATTAGCCTTAAATAATATATAACAAAAGAAAGAGAAAGAGAAGAGTAGGTCAAGAACTCTTCCCACAAGTATGAGAAGAACCATGAAGAACAACTGGGATGGAGGAAAAGAGAAAAGGAAGGAAACATGGAAAGACACACACACACACACACACACACACACACACTAAGATAATTGTACTACTAATTTCTAGTGGCTTATTTTTTGGCTTTGAGGCAGGGTCTCGATATGCAGTTCAGGCTGGCCTTGAGCTCACTTTGTAGCCCAGGATGGTCTCAAATCCACAATGATCTTCCTGTCTCAGCCTCCTGAGTATGCTATTGGTTTTTTGATATGAACAGTTAATGCTTAATTCTTTGATCAATCTTGCATACCAATTATCTGGTAATCTGAGCAACTACTTTGAAGATAACAGTATGCAATATAACCACCATTGTTAATTTCCTATCACCTTGTTTTGAAATTCTGTATCATTTTTATTGTTTTCTAGGATTTTTAGATTCTTTTTAAAAAAAATTTATTTATTTATTTGTGTGTGTGTGTGTGTGTGTGTGTGTGTGGCCAGCTCAGCCCACCAGGGGGCGGGATGGCTGGCATGTGGTGCTGGGGGATTGAACCGCTGTCCCTGTGCTTTGCTAAGCTTGTACTAAGTAGGTGCTTTAGACCACTGAGCCATCTCACCAGCCCTTTAGATTCTCTTTAAAACAAAAATTTTCCATTTTAAAAAACAACTTGCAAATAAGAGAGCAAGATAACACCACTTCACACCTACTAGTATGGATCATACATTATGAGAAAGCAGACTGATACACAGAACACCAAGAAGAAAGTCTGTCCAAGACTGAGGTCTGATTCTACCACATTCAGTGACTTTTCTTTTCATTCTAGCCACACCCCTTCCAGGATCAAACTGGGCACCACTGGTGCCGATTTACAAAGTTTAAAATTATGACGAGATTGGCACACCTACAGTTTTCTAACACTGTATGGCTATATACATGAAAAAGCTTTGATTTCAGACTGTTATTTATCTGTCACTATTTTATTTAATCTTCTAATTTGATTATTGATTTAATATTATTTGATTTTATCTAATTATCTTATTATTTGTAAAAAGGTAAAATAAATACGTTCTCTCTTTTCATTTCTTGCATCCCCTGCTTTTTTCCTATTTTTAAAAATTTTGGCCAGGCTCTAGCTAAATTGTCCAGGCTGGGCTCAAACTTGACTTCCTACTTCAACCTCCCAGAGTGCAGGACTACAAGGATGTTCAACTTTGCCTGGATAAAAACTTTTATTTTTTTAATTGATAGAAACTTGGATGTAGTCACCATGTACACATTATATTTTCACACACACACACACACACACACACATATGTAAGATTCAATTTAACATATTACTTCATATAATTGTCATTTCTAATATCCATACCTAATATCCATTCTTCAAGCATTTTTCAAGGATGCAATGTATTATCTTTAACTATAGTCAGTGCTATACAATAGATTTCCTGAACTTATTTTTCCTAATTTCAATTTTGTATCTTTTTTTTTTTCAGTACCAGGGATTGAACTCAGAACCCTATGCTTGCCAGGCAAGCACTTATTCTACTGAGCAGCTCCTCAGCCCTCAATTTTGTATCTTTAACCAACACCTAATTTACCAACACCAAAGGCTCTAGCCTCTGTTAAGCATGATTCCTCTCTGCTTCTTTCTTTATGTATTTAGTACAGGGTCCATAGAGTCTCACTACACAGATCTGACTCATCGTGATCCTCCTGTTTTCAGCCTCCCAAGTGCTGGGGTTACAGGCACGTGCCACTATGCTCAGTCTCAATCACAGTCTCAGTAGGCCCCAGGCGGGGCTGGCACAGCGTGTGGTGCCAGGGCTCAAACCCCAGCCCCTGTGGTCTGCCTAAGCAGGCACTTTAATCTGCTGAGCCATCTGGTCAGACCTCCTCCCTACTTCTGAGATCAGTGTTCTTTGATATAATATGTGTGAGGCCCTGCAGTACTTTTCTATGCCTAGCATATTTAATTTAACGTAATATCTTCAAGGATCATCATGTTTGTACACATGACAGTTTTTCCCTCTCTTTTATGGCTCATGGTATTCCACAAAGCATACATGTCATTTTTTTCTTTAAATTTTCTCTTCTCTTCTCTTCTCTTCTCTTCTCTTCTCTTCTCTTCTCTTCTCTTCTCTTCTCTTCTCCTCTCTTCTTTCTCTTTCTTTCTTTCTTTCTTTCTTTCTTTCTTTCTTTCTTTCTTTCTTTCTTTCTTTCTTTCTTTCTTTCTTTCTTTCTTTCTTTCTTTCTTTC